GCCAAAATAACTCAAAATACCGTGACTGAGCTTCTTTAATTTAATTTTAATATGTTAGTTCTGAAAAACTTGGTGTTAAGTCAACAATAGGGAGCTTAAGCAAACCAAACGAGAACGTCACCAAACAAAAGGTATCATGAGCGAAACAGTAGCTCTTCACGTGCTTTATAAATATTTGTACATTTCGTAGTTGTCCTCTGCAAACAACAACGTGAAATTACCAAGTTTTGTGTATTTTGAAGAACGTGAGCCACGACGGCTAATTTTTCGTATTTTTTTTTTCTGAAATTGATCGCTGGCGTTGCATCTTTAGCTTGTTTGAGCAGAGTTTTAGGCCGCTCGGCTCAATGAACAGTTTTTGTAGATACTTGCGAAATTCAAAGGTTTCTCCTACTTGATGATTTTCAATATTCTCATCAACTACCTAACTGACATTGTATTAATATTGTAAAGAGAAGTTATGTTTTGATAGTTCTTACCCCTTCCATATCAGAGTCATCATTCACAGTAGGAGCACATGAACTGCTCTTAACAGTGCTTGCTGTACTGGTGCTTGATTTGCTGGAGCTCATGCTACAACTTTGATATCCACCTGCTCTCTCGTTATCCTGACTTTGTGGTATTTTCTTCACGATGGCGTATTTCTTCTTCAGCGGTTCGCGTGGATCCACTACACCCAGTGTCGTCGTCTTCTTCAAAGGCTGTACAAGCATGGCTGGGTTAGCTTGCAAAGGTGGTCCACCTGGCCGAGCGACTCTATGAAGGGGTCTCCTCGGCTGTGAAGGGACTATAGGTACAGGGGCTCGCATACCGGGTATCTGTCTTATAAGCTCTCCAGGGGCCCCTTTGTGAACACGCGGGGGACCCTGGTCGTTGGGACCTTTTTCGTTATCGCGTCTTAGCCTAGGACGTACTCGAGCGGGTGGCGTGTACTCAAGGTCACCCTCACTTCCAGTCTCCCATCGTTTTCTAAGGGGGCACGGACCGTACGCAGCGGCGGTTCCTAAGCTAGCCTCGTTATCGTTGGAGAATGAATTGCTGCGTTTCCAGTTGGCGGCGTAGGGAGGAGGTATACCAAGCGAATCCATGAGCCCATAAGCGTCGGTGTTAAATCCGCCGCATTCTGCTGCTACACGTACAGCGTTAGCAAAGTCCGCATCCGTGAAGAACGATCCATCGCTGCTAATACCGCTTATTCGGCTCGGGCTCGAGCACGACGAGTCATCTTCGGAGCCGCTCGTGTTCGTTACAGACTCGGCCCATTGCATGATTATGTCGCTCGTGATGCCTTCGAGGTCGATAGGGATAGGCTTCGGCTTGGATCGGGACTTCTTAGATTTTTCCGACTTGCCTGCAACCGATCCCTGCTCGTGCTCTCCATCGTTTAACGAGTGAGCTCCCTTTCTGTGTGCCCGCCGTGGTGAACTGGTGCCGTGTGGCTCTGTCAGTCCGCTCTTTCCAGTAATCCCGCTCATTCCAGTCACGCCACTGGCCTCGCTCATTCCCGTTCTACCGGTCATACCAGTCATTCCACTCATACCTGTCATACCACTCATTCCTGTCATTCCACTCATACCACTCATGCCGCTCATTCCGGTCCGTCCGGTCATCCCTGTCATGGCGCTTCGTTCGCTAAACGGTGGAGAGGGGGGTGGGGACCCCTGGCTGCTCGGTGGTGGCTCCGAGGGGGGTGGGGGAAGCATATCCGCCCAGTTGAAAATGGCTAAACGCGGTGGAGGTTTAAGAGCCTTTCTCTTCCTCTGAAGTGAACCACAACTTGTGGAGGTCTTACAGCTCCGTTCACTCGCTGGGCTGGACGGTCTTTCCAAATCAGGCGATTTGCGCGCCTCGGAAGCATCTTGTTTGGAAGACTCATCTTTGTCCTCCCCTAATTTCCTATCGGGTTCGTCCTTCGCCTTGTCAGCACTGCCCAGCGGGAACTTCTGCATCTCCATCTCAGTTTCTTTCAGAACAGCTTCGTAAGTGGGGGGTGGCTCCGAGTGGAAGGTGCTAGTGGTGTGCATATTTCCAGCCATCTCAAAAGACTGGATCTTGAGCTTGGGTTTGGTCTTTTCCGTGTCGCTGGAGTCGCTAGGTGTTTGGTTAGGATCCCTTCTCCGGGACCCCGGATTATTTTTGCTCCTATTGGTGCCATTCTCAGTGTAGTCATAGTAACGGATTCGTTCTTTGGGTCCGTTCTTTGGAAGAGTACTTTCAGAAGGACTTCTGGATCCACTGGGTGTACCAAACTCTGTAAAAAGTAGAAAAAAATTCTCTCAATTTACCTATTAAAACATTTTAATTCAAACTCACACTAAGCACGTGTGAAAATGCGGTCACAAAGAAAAGAGTTTTTTTTGCGACGCACTGGGAAAACGCGAACCAAAAGTCGCGCGAGACAACACGAACAAACATTCGCGCGAGAAGCGAGTCGACCTCGCGAGTTCTTATCACGTGAAAACGTAAACGCGTAATGTACGGATAAGTCGCAAAGCCAGTTAGCAAATAAAGTGCAACGAGCTTACAAGTACTTTTTAATCGAACTTTCACATTTCCGTTGCAAAATGTTATCAAACACTTTCCTGTTTCAGTAAGCCATAGTGAAACGCTTTAAAGAAGCTCAGTCACGGCTTGCGCATATTGAAAAGTTTAGCCTCAATTTTTCAAATTCGTCGTTTGTAATCCATGTCAATCTTCTCCATCCTTAGCCATCCTTGTTCCTTTATGGTTTATCTTTATATCTTTGGTGTTTTTCTATCTTACTAAACTGTTATTTTCAGGTTTCCTACCATTTAAAGGTAATTTTGTATGTGGCCAAAATAACTCAAAATACCGTGACTGAGCCCCTTTAAAGTAAATCTTTACTTACGGTTTGTTGGTGAATCCAAGAACTTGTTGCTTTTATTAACGTGTTCCTGGTAACGACTGTTGGAGTGTGGTAAGTTATTTGTCTTCGCCGGTTGACCGTTCATCGAGCTGTAGTGGCCATCCAGCTGATTACCACTTCCTATTAAAAACACACAAAAAATTGAACTATTAACAAAAGCAACAATATCTTACAAAGTTAGTTTTTGTGCAAAACTTTCTACACCAGCGCCGGATAGCCAGTGAAATCGTAATCAAGCTAACCAATCAGCCTTGACGCAGATAGTCTTCACCAGCCTATCAGATACAGTTTTAAAACCAATCGCGATTGGATTCGCGCCATCCAGGGCGCTTATATGTATCCGGCCTTTTTCCGCCCTGTGCCACCATTTCCCGCGCTTGCCACACGTGTGGTCAGTGATTTTGCTTTTTGTTCTGGTTGGTTTTGAAGGATTTTGCTTTTGCCTCTACCAGAGATGGGCTCTGCCAGATTTGGTTCCCGTACAGTTAGTCACTAAAGTTTCAAATACGGGCTTCTTGACGCAAGAAAATCAATTCACTCTTTCAGGGCTTCTCGATTAAAACTTGCAGAAACTTTTCTTCAAGCAATTGAACCAAACTAAAAGCGAATGCAGGTAACGAATATCGATCTATTAACAACAGCTTCTAGGAAGTCACCCATATTCTCACCCGATAAATGGTTCAAAGTGATCTTATTAGGAAAGTCAATGCTGCCATTGGAAGAGCCTCCTCTCACTCGACAGCAGTTTGCCATCTGTTTTGCGCAATCAGAGGCCGAGCTGTCACTCGATCTGTTATTGGTCAGTTGCTGTGTTGGCTCTGAATTCCTCTCCTCCATCCACAAGAACTTTGAAGCACGTGTACTGAAAGTGTTCACAAACAAAAATTTAACACACAAGCACAACAAACAGTTAACACACAAGCAAGGAACCGCTCTACCGGACAAATTGCTTTTACACTGCAAGTCTGACTCGCCCCATACATTAAGTAACTTTGTTTACGATCTGCAAGCTCTATCTTCGGTGCAAGCGTAACTTAGTTTTTCCCCGTTTTTCCCTGATTTGTGACTGCCCAAGAAACCACATGACCATTTTGAGACGCGAGGAAGGCTAAACAACTGTCTGTGTATATTCTACCTGTCAGTCTCTTCTTTTCAGGGGAACTGCTAGACGGTTTTCTCCCTAATTACTACGGACATGCATGTGTTACGCGGGGCTCTGTGACTCGTGTAGAAAAAATAAGACTTACCCTGAACTCCGAGGCGCGTTGTCACCTGGAATATTCACTGTCAAGAAAAACAAAGTTTCTAAATGAAAGTCTGAAGACTAAAGCAAACTGTACGATGTATCCAATGTTAGGAAGGGCCTACCGTACACTGTATGAAAGGACCGCACACTTAGGAATAAAAGAGTGAAAGCAGTAAATTTGAATAAGAATTGAAGCATTGAAATCGAGGAAGAATACCTCGACGAAATCAACGAACGAACACATCACAATGTTATTTATACAGGGCCCCTACGGATACCAGCCTTTGAGCTGAACGGGTTACCCTGTTTAAAAAAAGTTAAACTTTACTTTACTTCACTCTGATTTTTTTTCTGTCAAATCCATGAGCCTCCACACTCCTGTCAGTCGCTCTACCACACAGTAACATTAGATTTGTGGAAGCTACGTTAAACGTGACAAACATCCTACATACTTCTAGGTCCTTCTAGAATTGGTTTCGCTGCAGGTGTAAAGACCACTGTGGAATCAAACAACATCACAGCACAACAGAACAAGCAAGTCACCTCTTGTCGTCAAGGCCTTCTGTGACTTCTTTTTATTCCGTCTTTGCCTGTAAAGCAGCAACACCACTATCAAGAGTATGATCCAGGCCACAGCACCCATGGTGCCAATGAACCATGGCTGGCGTATGAACAGCTTCATCTTGTGCCAAGTGTCTCCTGAGCCTCCACGTGCTTCCACTATACTGACTTCTCCATTCGAGCTGCCACCGCCTGGTGAGGGACTTACTCCTCCTAACAGAATACCAGCTGCTGAGGAAAAGAAAATTCAAATTATGATTGACAATTAACATTTACATGACTGAGTCTACGAATTTTGAACAAGTTTTGTGCTTAGGATGGTTGATGATGATGATGATGTCTGAAAATTGCACTGAGAGAAAAGGAAAAGATCTTTCAACATGAGATGTCTAGGAGACGACGGAGACCAAAACTTCCAAAAAAAAAAAAACTCATTTTCTCAGTCATTACTGCACCTTTCAATAACATGCGGACTCTAAAATTCAAAGCTCAACCGACAAATGCGTTTTTCGCTACCGTTAAGCAAATGTTCGGCAGCTCCTCCCAGCTTCCGACTATTGCCGAGCACTGTTTGGTTGTCTGAACTGTGCTCAATGATTTGATTACCGTGCGCTTGGCAGTAGTTGGAAACTGGGAGGAGCCGCCGAACATTTGATTGACGGTAGCGAAAAACGCATTTGTTGGTTGAGCTCTGAATTTCCGCATGTTATTGAAAGGCGCAGTAAGATGCTGTTACATTAAACCACCGAGAAAGAAGAAGCAACCTTAAAAACATCAATTTCTACAGGTTTTGTTTCCCATCTTTCAGTACATATTCTTACGGCGCGACTACTCTAACCACGGCCACCAAAAGAATTTTTCTACAAATTTAACGAATAAAAATCGTGGAGGTTAAGAAAAGTTTCGTAACAAATTATCGATGTAATCAAGCTGTACATTACAAAGGCAACAGGTTTGTGGTCATTTGGATTAGTAACCTAAAATTTAAAACTTTTAAAATGCCAGTGGTCAGTTTGCAAAGAATTTGCTCAAGTGGCCTCTCTGGGAGTTGCCTCACTGTAAGCTATTACATGTACACTTGATAGAGATGAAGATAAGCTTGACAATCTAGCTAGCAGTAGATGCTTTAGAATCTGACACGGCAGCATGGAGATGGGAAGCACATGGCCCAGTTCTCCATGTTTTGGAGAAACGATATTGATGTGGACGTTGACGATGATGATCACTGTGATGATGATGTTGATGATGAAGATGACGTTGATGTTGATGATGATAATGATGATAACGATGATGACGATGATGATGACGTTGATGTTGATGATGATGACGATGACGACGATGATGATAATGATGATGATGATGATCACAACAAAAATGATGTTACAATGATGATGGCATTTGGTTATCACACAACAGTAACAAAAAAAGAATTTATTTCTTTTTTTCTGTTTTTGCAGCTCAAAATGAAATCACGCTCAATCACATACCGTCTTGCTCCTCTTGTGTTGTAGCAAACGCTGAGGTACTCTTTGGTCCTGAATGGCTTCCACTCATGATCTGTACCTGTATTTCATAAGTTGTGTTTGCCTCAAGTCCATTGAGTGAATAAAAAGATCCATGAGCACTATCAGGCTTAGTGTAAAAATCCACATCAGTGTCTTTCTTTCGCCATAAAATAAGCACACTTGTTACATCTACTGGTTCTGAGAGCTGAAAAAATAACATTTCAACGTCAATTGTAATGCTATATTTAACACAATATACTGCATATCAAAAGGTGTACTAAATGTAAAAGTGTGCCTTACGCACAGTGCTCCATCACACGGAAAAGTAACTTGATGTAAATTATGTATGGGTTATTGACCAAGTGTGAGGTCAAGATGGCTGGATATTGGCCAAGTTCTTTTTTTGCGTGTTTATGGACCGAGACGGAGTCGAGGTCC